CACTGTGAATTCAGTGGGCTCGAATTAATTTCTGTTTATATTTATAAGCTAACGTTCTAATTTACAGAATCATTATTTACAAGTACAGAGGAACAACAGTTAATAGTGGATAGATAGAAATGTAGAACTGTGTATTAGTAGTACTTTCTACTTCCCTCGAGTGCTTGATTATTTCTGCCAATTTGTCGTCCCGGGTTATGGAACACTGCAAATGGAGTTTTTTTAGGAATGTCCCTGCAACTCCGCTCACCCTCATTGGTTTGCTTTTTTGCAAAAAAGCTACTGTGCTTTTTTTATCCATCGGATGCCAAGCCTTTGACTTTTGGTGGCAATATGCATTTCTCAACACCACCATCACCTTGATCTCGGGTCGGATATGACTCGGGTCGAAAACGAATAATGAAAAAATTGATAAATTATCCGACCCGACTCATATTTAATACGAATAAAAAACAGGTTAGCCGGTGGATAATATGGTTACATATTATTCACGACTTCTTGCATATGATCACTTTTGAGAAAATTCTTAGTCTCCCTAACTTGATGAACCCGCAATTTGAGACTTTACAAATGTAAAAGTTAGAACTATTGGTTATCCATTGGTTACCCATTGATTATTATGGTTCTTATCCATATTTGACCCGTTTTTAAAAAGTTCATTATCTAACCCATTTTTCAGTGGATAATATGAGTGCTTAACTATTTTCAGTATGTATCTTTTAGTCATTGCAGTTTTTGAGTCCTTGAAGAATCGTCCCCCTTTCAAACGATAGGGTTAGGATTCCTTACTTCGATGAAAATCTATCTATACACAAACAGTTAACGTAAAATACATGCAGAAAGAATATACAGATAGGTAAAATCTTCAAAGAAAATATAAGGGACAAAAATAGATTATTCATGGATCTCTGACAGAGAAACAAAAAATTTCATCTACCCTCTCCGAGGATGTCATGGAGCATCGGTCTGTCAGCACCTGATGGCGAATAATTTGTATCAGCGGCTGTACTTGTACTCACTGATGAATTGGGCATTTGAGAAGAATGATGATCACTCATGAAGGTCGTTGTATCAGTAAACTTCCAGTCAGTCAAGTATCCAGGTCTGGAAGTTACAGTCGCAACCTCAGCGTCTCCTGTAAGCATTGCTATTACACGGGACATTGAGGGTCGTAGTGCTGGGGATGTTTGAGTGCATAGTAGAGCTATCCCTATTACTTTTCTCACTTCGTTTTCATCAAATTCAGATAAATTTGCATCCACCAGTTCAGTTTCGCAGTTGTTCTCATGAAGCTGCCAAGCCTAGAAGCACAGCAGTTGAATATGGTTAGAACGAAATGGTGCGTATAGGAATCTCAGGACAATGCGATAAGTCTAACTTTTGAGAAATAATAGAGAAAAAGAAGTATGAATGGAGAGGATAAATTTTTTCCGTTTGGTTAATCTAAGTGGTAAATCTTCCTTTCTTTCCATTGAAGTAAATCGCTGACAAGCTAGAAGTTGCATCCCCAGTTATAGCGGCAACTAAGGATAAAATGCATATGTTTCATTGTTCTAATGCCTTAATACAAGCAAAGAAGGAAGGGACTTTACCCACTCAAGAAGGTAGATCCTCTCTTCTTCCAAGCTCGAGTCAGAGTTAGGTCTACCGCTGACAATCTCTAGAGCTACAACTCCGAAGCCAAACACATCAGCCTTTTCTGTCAGATGTCCGCGCATGGCATATTCTGGTGCAAGATACCCTCTACAAGAAAATATTCACTAGATTCATGAAACAAAACTATAGGAAAGGAGTGAAACAGTATGACACATCCTCAATTTTGAGGATCTTACATTGTGCCTGCAACACGAGTGTTTATATGAGTCTTTTTGTCATCATAAAGTTTTGCCAACCCGAAATCTGAAATTTTTGGGTTTAGGTCTGAATCAAGCAGAATATTACTGGCCTTGACATCTCGATGGACAACACGAACCCGAGATTCCTCGTGAAGATACGCCAGACCCTTTGCCACTCCCAAGCATATCTGGAAGCGTATTGGCCAGTCAAGATATAAAGATCCACTCTCTGCCCAATTGAAGCCAAAATCTCAATATTAGTAAAGTTAAAAAAGTGCCTCTTCTTCTCTTATATGAGGAAAGTCAGAATTTCTAAGATATTGTATTCATTAGTACCAAATAGTGCTTGATCAAGACTCTTGTTTTCAAGATACTCATAAACAAGTGACCGTTTATCTCCCTCGATGCAGCAACCATAGAGTTTCACAAGATTACGGTGCTGTACAGCTGATATAGTGGCAATCTCTGCCACAAACTGACTCTTCCCTTGATGTGATGCCACAGACAGTTGTTTAACGGCGACAACCCTCCCATCCTCAAGTGTACCCTATGGACCATAAAAGTAGGTTCAACGTTCAGACAATTTCAATAATCATTTCGTGTTTTCCGTAATTCATAACAAAAGTAAAGCAAACAAGAATGCACAAGTATTTAGCCACAAAACATTTCTTGACGGCAAAGATGCAGATTATTTATTTGCTGTTTTATACAATGTTTCATGTGTTTTTGGAATATAAGTTATGTTAGGCCACAATGTCTACAATGGAAGTACTGAAATCAGTCAAGAGAAAGGCATTGAAAAGAACAAGGCCTATTTGAGAAACCTGTGAGCTACAGGTGCACCAAACATAGCAAAAAAGGAAACACTATTTACTTCAGGACTTCATATGGACGAATAGATTACCTTGTAAACTGGTCCAAAACCTCCCTCTCCAAGCTTATTAGAAGGATTGAAGTCAGCAGTTGCGGCTCGAAGTTCTGAATAGCTGAAAGTATAGGGTCTAGCATCTATCCCCAGGAACTCTGCGGATTTGAAGGGAAACTTGTCATTAAATAAGTCAAATGAATCAATTTGTGGAGCTCACTCACTAGACATATACACTATTTCATAAGCTGAATAAACTGAAGGAATGCCTGTGCTGACTCCTCTTATTAACTCTTGCTCGCAATTCATGCTTATTACTCTTAACTTTTGTCTAAACCGAAGTGTGAAAAACAAGAAATGAACCACAAACATGTCCAGAAACCTTTTACAAAAAAGAATCTTGAATGAAAGTGTTGCTAAACCGACTTTCCTGTAGGATCCGGTCTTAGACAGCTTCCAGTTAGAACTAACGAAGATGAATCACTTAAAAGTCATAAAACAGAAGAACCATTCTAGATCAGCTTTTGTTTCTTACCTTCATCCTCAAGAGCTTGTTGCTGTTTTCTTTTCTGAATTAGGTAATAGACAGCAAATACAGAAATGAAGCTTATGACTCCAACACCAACAACAACGCCCACAATAAGACCAGTCTGATTCTTTTTTGTAGTAGGAGGCTGGTTGCTAACAGTGGGAATAAAATCTGTAGAAAAGCTTAGGAGTCTCAATACAGTTTTTGAGTGCCTACTTTTCAGAATCTGAATGTCTGTAATTTATGGATACCTGGGGTTGCACTAATTGCTGATATAGAAGGTCCATATGTGCCTTGTCTAGGTACACAGCAAGTCCCTTTTCCAGCCCAGAAGAGATGTATCTCTAGATGATTTTCAGAAACCTGAACTTTAAATTGCTTTTGAACAGCTCTAAGGGATCTTCCATCAGCCTCCTTCCGTATGTCAAAATCTTTCAACTCCCGAATTCCCTGGAAAAAGATTACCATAAAATTATTGCAAAAGGCCCTTTTCTACTAGATAAGTGGCAAATGCCTAGTATTAGGATTAGGTATGACAAAGCTAATTTTTTTGTTAGTTAAGTTGTATTGGAAAGAGAAGGGAGATGTCCATACGATCCCTTCTCTACATATTGTTGCGATGGTGCAATAGCAGTCTATCTTGTTGTACTCTGAGGTAAGGCATAGCCCCCCTCATTTTGTAACGCAGCAATATATCACAGCCCAGATTCATGCTGGGAAAGCTTTATTTAAAAAAAAAGTCAATTATGATTTGAAGGTATGAAAGGAAGGGGGGAAAAAGTTCTTTCTACTAAACTTGCATTTTTTGTGAGCAGTATTAAATAGCTCAAAGCAGTGAAATAAAGTGGAGATTTTCTTTTGGAGGGATGGTAAACGTAGATGACAATATATCCACATCATTCAATTAATCTACTGTTCCTCAAAGTTGGGGTCGGCCATATGAATCCTCACAATCAAAGTGTTGCTCGTTTCGGACCCAAATAATTCCAATATTGTTTAGTTTATGAATAATATGTCTTTAAGGCAAATAAAGGTTTCTCTATAGCCTTAAAATATGACACAGTTGAGAACTATAGAGGAGAAGGACATGGTTAGAACTGAAACCTTAGGTCTTTAGCAGCGCAAGTCAGAAACAAAACCTGATTAGCATTGGAGCATCATAATCTTTAGTTTTGATAGCTCAATACAATAGAGAATGAAAGCAACCTACTGATTGAGAAGATAACACCAAGCAACTACTCATGATTATCTTAGTGATGATATTTGCTTTTCCCCTCCCAATTGTAAACCGGTCAAGCTGATGGTTATCTAAAAATAGATATAAATATAAAAGAAAATAATGCATACCTGTACATATACGTCAAATACACGCCTCCCAAGACTACGCCAAGTTGGGGGATTTAAGATTTGTGACTCGGCAAATTGGAGGTTTACAGTGTAATTACCATTCTCAAGGCCCAAGCCATAGTATCTAAGTGATCCTGCGGAAATTCGTGCAGTTTGGAAGAGCTCCGAGTCCAAGGTGTTTGTAAACTGAGATGAGGAGAAGCTTGTGAAGTCCTGATCTGGACTGTCAGAAGGCAGACCAACATTACTTACAGCCCACCTCCCTGTCCTGGTCATGAAATATGTTGCTGGACCCATAGTCTGGTTCTCCATCTCATACGATATCTGATTGCTTGATGTAATTGGAGGTCCCCCACATTTAATTGCAAAGCTGGACCCTGTGAATAATGAAAATCACATCCATGAGAAGATAAGAAACCAGAAAAACAGCTTTATATCAGAACACTAGCAGTAGAGTAGAGTAACACATGTCCTACTTCACCTTCCCCTTTCTCGTTTCTTGGTGAAGTAGGTTTCATAAGAACAGAGAAGATTTTGGGCAAGCATAATCATGTTTTAGAGACAACAGTACTATCCCCACCCTTAAAAATATTACCTTAAATGGACGAATTCAGCTAAATGGACATTGACAATTCTTACATTGTGGTTTATAGACAAAAAATGCAGGACAAAGATTTTCAGACTTATTCATGCTAGCAGAACCAGAAAACTGGACTAGGATATTTGTCAACGAATTGTATGAAGAACTTACATCTCGGAGATCCTCGATCGCAAGGGAAGTTTCGTTGAAGACAATCTAACCCGGAAGGCAGAGAACTGAAAGAAAAAGTGGTATCCATCCATTTAAGTTCTTCAAATACACATGCAACTATAATGGTAACAATGTATACAAACATGATTTATCTTAGAATTCAGACAAGGAAAGCTTAATACAAATAATGAATGAACTTGGTTAGCCATTAGTGGGACCTGGGAGCCCGGTGCACAAAGCATCCCGCGTTCACGCAGGCTCAATGATACAAATCTAACTGAAATGTACTCATTACCTGCTGTCTAATTGTTCCATTGTAAAGTTGTTGCCAACTAAATTTCTGCAAGTTGAGTTCCACAAAGGTCTCGGCGTTAGGATAATGATATCCAAAGATAGGAGGAAAAGCGAATAGGTGAGCATTATATGAATTTCAGCTTTCTCATACATACAATTGCAGAGTTTGCTCATTGATCCAAGAAGGTAAGCTTCCAGACAACCCATTGTATGATAAATCTCTACACGTGAAAGATGGAAGATGTTAGGCAACAACTACTAAGCATATCAGATATTTCTGCAGGCAAAGTATTGAAAATATCTAGCATTTATCTCATTCAAGAAATAATTATTAAACTTTAGTATGCTTTTCTCGCAGACCATGTCACCCCCAATAAGGCTTCAAAGTCTCAATAAGGAATATGCTGAAATAAAATAAGGGAAATAGTCCTTCATTTTGCTTAATAAGATTGAAAGAACGTTTGAAAGTTCAGCATATTCATTCCAAAAGAAAAGGGAAAAGTTGACAGTGAAATCATATAAAAACAAGAGTTACTCACATAGTCTGGAGGGGGCCGCTCTTCTGAGCTGGCAGGACGCCTGTTAGCTTGTTATCACCAAGAAACCTGATGATTAAAAGGGAGTTACCACATGAGAACATCGTTAAGGTGGTATAAAAAATAAGCAAACATTAGATGATCTATTACAAGTGAGTCAGCGAACTTAGATTGAAAAGTGCATCTGGAATACGCCCACTCAAATTGTTGAAGCTCAAATCCCTGAGAAAAAGATACATGAAAGTTAGTCCAAAGGAGTAGTAAATGACCAATGAGAGTTCAATGTCTTCCACTGAAATTCGAGTTGAATATAGTAGCACGACACTTGTTAGAAGTATATCATGCCATGGCCATATAAGTGAAATAATCAGTGTTCAATTCACACAAGCGAGGGCTTAAAATGTTCATAAGAACATTATCATGCTCAGAACTTACAGTAGTGACAGGCTCTGATATTCTCCAATATTGGGTGGGATGGAACCTGAAATATTGTTATTTCGTAAAACCCTGGAAATACCAGATTTAGTTTGTCAGACTGTCGATTCTGAAAACACAAAGAGAAGAAGAAAAGAAATACAATGTCAAGCTTTGTAGCATTTGGTGCTACGTCATGTTCCTTACAGCTTGCTTAGAGACTTCATATTCCTGAGGAAGTCAAGTGAAGAGCTCCCATTGGATAGATCACTTATTCTCCTGTTAGTTATGTAGAAAAGGAAATATCATATTATGCTAAATGTAGAAAAATGGATTTTAAACCATGAACTGAATATAAGACAGTCGTTAAGACTCACAGGTCGGTCAAAGAGGTTAAGTTGGAAAAGGAAGCAGGTATTGGGCCCTCGAAAGAATTTCCTTGGAACCTCCTGTGGCATTAGAAAAACCAATCACATATTATGCTAGAGAGGAGATGCAGTAATGAGCATTATAGCAATGCTGCAACGGAAAAAGTAATACACTAATTGGACATAGTGCAAGTAACTGTGATCTCACAGTGTAGTAAGCTTTGACCAACTTCCAATGAAATCAGGAATCCTTCCTGTAAGATTATTATCTGCAGCCCACCTGAAAGCCGGAATAGTTAATATTCCTGTGGGATTTCTTAAAAGACAAATTTGTCCAAGTAAATATTGGGAAGCTAGAGAAGGAGCATGTGATAGAGAGATCTTACACTGTATCCAAGTTCTGCAGTTTTGCAAACGTCAATGGTATTGGACCACTAACACCAGCACTATCGAAATAACTACGCAAGGAAACAATATTCTTTTCAGGGAAAAAAATAAAGCTACAGAAAGGACAACAAATAACTAAAATTACAAAAACTGCAACATATTCATGTTATTGGAAAAGTAGTTTTATACTTCTCAAAAAACAATGAACATCAGAGATCTCGTCAATCAAAGAAGGCCTATTCAGGAGAAAATAACCTTCAAACCTAAAATTTTACTTTTCATTGTCTACATATGATGCTTTTTCTAAGTCGTTATCATATCGATGTTAGATACTTTGTGAGACATGAGACCTGTTGGAGACAAATCCAGCACGCCACTGATCCTATGTTTGATGGAAACTCTCATGTCTTTGTTATGTTTTATGTTTGGCATCTGCTATGTCTCAACTCTGTGCTATATATTTCATGTTATACTATCTTTCCTTTTTGTTTCTGTATGTTGCAAGTTCAAATTAAAATTTTAAGGCTTCAAACATATGGAATGGTAATGAGAAGCAAAAGAAAGAGGTGCAAGGAAGATGAATACTAAGGTACATAGAACGAGAGTAATATGTCTTGGCCGTGTTGTATTCTGCATCTTTTGTAACTCATGCGACATGCCACAAATATTAACAACCTAAAATAGCTTATCATACTCTTGAGAGAAGGAATGATTACTTTATACAGAAAATCGGAGAAAGATTTAACTCCTATACTCCTCCACTTGCATGAAAAATACAGCAAGCACAACACAGATAGCATTAGATCGTTGATAACTTCCTGCTTCTACTAATACAATTTCAGGGCCTTGACTTTGATGTATAAATTAAAACAATGCAATACACTCCAGATTCATTATGATGTTCATAAACAGATAAAATATTTCCCATGTAAAATGCAAAACTCTGAAAATTAAGATTTGACATGATAGCAGTTTTAAGATGCAAAACAATGCACCATAACTTACATTTGTGTCATTTTTGTTAAGTTTCCAAGTTCTGAAGGCAGAGGTCCAGAGAAATTGTTTGTGCCAAAACCACTGCAGCACAGGGAAACTACATCCTTTTAGATGAATAAATGCAGAAGAAATGATGAAGATGCTCTTCATACATCAATGATATATCATGAAAATCAAGGGTCCAAAGAACGTAATGAGAACATACAATGATTTTAATTCAGTCAACAACCCAAGTTCCTTTGGGAGCTCCCCTGACAAAGCATTAATGCCAATGCTTCTGGAGATACCAAACATTTAAAATTATTCCAAAAATATCATGATCAAGCAAAAATAACTGAAAGAGTAGACTTACAGCCATTGCATGCGAGTCAGATTGGCAATGGATGGGGACAGTGTGCCTGTTAAGAAATTTTGGGCAACATTCCTGCAATTTATAACTAAAATATCAGTAGTTGGGAGAAAAAACATGAACAGTATAGGATAAAACTACACTTAAGAGGAAGCAAGTACAGATCATTGAGGAAGTTAAGGCTCCATAATTCATCTGGAATTTCACTGACGACGTTCATTGCATAAACTCTCCTGTACAGAATAATTGAAAAGAGAGGCTGTGAGAGTTACATGGCAAGTAAATATCCCAAACACTACATCCTATTGCGGATTCCAGTAATTTCCTGAATGCACATTGGTAGTAAATTACAGATGAATATGAAGAAGACGCACCAGCATTAAGTTCAAATTCCGCATCTTAGACTAAGATTATTTGAGGTTAATATTAAAATAAATTCAAATACAACGTAGAGACGGATGCAACATGTAACTAGTATTTGCTTGGGCATCTAAGCTACATATATTAAAAGAAGCACTTATTACCTTTGAATCTTAGATTCATCTCTTAGACAAATGTCATTAAAGTGAATAATGCGGACAAAAAAGAACTAAGGAATGACAAAAAGGCATAGGCTAAAACTAGGAGTAGGATTGAGTAGGGAAGACGAGTGACTTACAAGCCAGTGATATGACAAAGAGTGCGGTTGTTGTCGGAACAATCGCATTTGATGGCGGGATTAAAATCTTGGATTTCAGTGGAATCAATGGCGGCTCCGCTGCATAACTCACCACTAATGTTCCACCGATTTGTCGCGGAAATTCCCCATTTTTGGAAGATGAAGTTCAAAGCACGGGCTGCAGTATCAGCATGTACTCACAACTATGAGAAATCTATTAATGCCAAGACAAAACAATTCACAAATGTGATCTTGTAGTCACAATGGGAAAAGGCTCCTTATGGTGCTTAATTACAGTACCAATACAAATTTAAAATTGGTGAAAAGATCCCACATAAGAAAGTTCATACAATATGAACTACTACTTCCATTTCAATTGAATGTTCTCATCTTTAAAGTCTTTAAATAGTATCTATTGTCTCAAGAGGAACTTCCTATACACATCATATGATATGTATACAATGCAAAATCAGATGAGACACTGATTCAAATGCATCTTTTTTCTTATTATTATGATACAAAAATATATCACATGTGGACACTGCATGTACATAATAAACACATCTTCTTTACCAGAGGTATTGAGTTCGAATCCTACGTATGGACCAGTGGCGTAGCCACCCTATGCCAAGGGTGGTCAATCGTACACTCTTCGCCTAAAAATTATACCGCGTATATAAGTTAAATACTATTTCAAATAGTTATATAATATATTTTGAACACCTTTAACATAGTTGAGTGAGGGAGTCCAGTGGTTCCAGGGTGTTTAAAGTGATGTATTGTTCATGGGTTCAAAGTTTTGTCAAAACTAAATGAAGCCCACCATGCGTGGTCTATATTTGATTCTTTTTCAATCTAAAAAATTTTCTAATAAAATAACTCTTTAAACTTAAAATTTGTGTAAAAATAAACAACTAATGTAAAATTTTAACTAAAAGTTATTTCTTAAATAAATTTTATAATTTAAAAGTCAAGCTATATAAAATTTGTTCAACAAAAACTCCCTACAAACTACATATCCTCTCGACTCTCTCTTTCCTTTGGTTTTATGCTTACTTTTATTAGTAAAATTTCTATTGTTGTCTTTTTTGTTATTTTAATTTTGATTTATAAAATTATAGTTTTATTGATATTTTTTTTATTGTTTAGCTAAATGTTGCATAGTTTGATCTAAAAACTTTGGTATACCATTTATTAAAAAAAATATTATTGACTTGTTTAAAGTTTGAACACACTTGACGGAATTCCTGACTACACCATTGGTATGGACCCACATTTATTTGTATTTAGTCGAGGTGCATTGTGAGTATAGACACCAGGTTGGAAACCAAAAAAGAAGTAACTCCGTTTGTCCCAATGTATGGTCATAGTTCGAAATCAAAAGTTAAACTTTTTAATGTTGACTATGAATTCGAACATTAATATTTAAGCTTTTTGCATTAAAATTTAAAAATTTAGAAACTACGTAAAAAGTACTATAACTCACAATAATTAACAATTCAAAATATTTAAAAGATATATGAAAAAATTATCCGTATACTGATAGAGGGAGCATATAATATACATGTTATGACGAGGAAGAGGCAAACCCGAAAATAAAGAAGATAAAGAACACCAAATTTTAACGTGGAAAACCCTTCAAATCGAAGGTAAAAAACCACGTTAAAATTTGGTGTTCTTTATCTTCTTTATTTTCGGGTTTGCCTCTTCCTCGTCATAACAGTGGTATCAGAGCGAGGTTCAAGACAGGTTCATCTTGGCGGGTTCAGTTCTAGCCGCAACATATTTGACGATAATCGTGATTTTTGTCTGAGAAATTTGACCGGTGTGCTACGCACGTTGAGGCAAACTTTGTGGTAGAGATTTGGAGATGCAACCTGTTGAAGGCTATGTGAAGAAGGTGGATCAAGTTTATTTTGTCAGAAAATTCCGGCCAAGGGGGAGAATTGTTAGGTGTTTGCCATAATTTTCTTACCATATTTGGTTTTCCTATTTGTTGAAGGGAAGGGCAATATAATTACCTTAATTGAGTTTTCCTTTTTTGTAGAAGGAAATTATAATTCTCCTATACTTGGCTAGTCCTTTTTCTTGGAGGAAAAGGTTTGGAGTTCTATAAATTGAAGATCCGTCCTTCTCATTCAGGAGCATCCACAATGTAGCCATAGGGGCTTGAGAGTAGTGTTTAGGGGGAGAACTTTATGGGACAAATGTTAGTGTGTCACTTGTGTTTGCCTCTTCGTGAGGTTGTTCTCTCGATATTTTGTACTCTCTTTTTATTATAGTGGATTGCTCATCTCCGCCGTGGACGTAGGTCAGTTGACCGAACCACGTTAAATGTTTGTGTTTCTTTGGATAGATTTCTCTTTTGTTATCTGATTCATCGTCGTTGAGGGTTTGCTTTACTAGCTTCCGCATGACACCTGACTTTTTCGGTCCCAACAATACACACTAAGCATTCACTCTTAATTACCATTTGAAAACAAATAAAACCTGCCATTTGAAAGGGAGAAGTATTAGTATGTATTAGCTTAAAGCATTGAACAAAAATATTTACTCTTAATCCTATTTTATATGACAGTGTGTAGACTAGACAGAATGTATAGAAATACTTATTAATTTGACTAAAAAATATATTGGTTATAGTAAAAGAAAAAATTCAACATATAGTTTAAAAAGTTAGTTTGTTAAAGCAACAAAATTTAAAACTTAAGATTTAGAAATGATGGGAAGTGAATCGTGTGAATCTCTGCAGTGATTTGAGAAATTAAGATTAAGTGAATGATTAAATGAATTTAATTTTTTTAAAAGAATTATGAAAATTAATACAATAATATTACTAGCGAAGTAATGTTAATATTTAAAAAAAACATATTGGAATTAAAATTAAGGAACAATCAAAGATATAATCCAAAGGAACATGTATAACAAAAATAACCAAAAGGTTGTGGTGGGATGTTTTGAGTTGGGGGTATGGGAATGAACAAAAATTCTACTAGAAAAGCTACAAGTGAATTCAAGCTAAATGATTATAACAAAAAAAAATTATAACAAAAATATAGTTTTAGATTTTCTAAGAAGTTGACCAGCTTTACGGAAACGGAGTCATTGACCCGGCAACCTACACAGTTGTCGTTATCCATCCACTCTCATCCCTTGCTTCCTCCTGTCCAAAATAATTGATTTTTTTGCTTTTTTTCTTGTGGTTCAAAATAAGTAATTTTTTCAGATTTCAAGAATGAATTAATTATTTTTTTTCTATATTGCCCTTGGAGTAATTAATATTGGAGTATATATTAGAAGTGTGTATATGAAAAGATAATAAAGGTTAATATGGTCAATTTCATTGTTAATTAATACTAAAAGGTGAAAACAACCAAAAAATTACTTATTTTGGACCGGAGGGAGTATTAATTACCCCGTACAATAATAATTCACAAATACTGCTAAATTTCGCTGTCCTCCCCCTTTCCAACAGGTCACAGCATCAAGAGAAACAAAACTTCTTCCAGCTGATATTTGTGATATATGCACGACAAGACATATGTTAAAAACTTTATTACTTTAATCTACACTGTTACTTTAATTAGCTTTCTTTTTAAAAATAAATGATTTAATTTCGTATGAATATATAACAATATATTTGTACTTAATTTTATATATAAGAGGGGTAAATTTTGGCATTTCACCCATGCACCGACTGCAACAACAGTCTAGATTACCAAGCTTCACCAAACACAAACTACTTACTACGACCAACTCCAATTGGCATATCACACAATACAATATGTTGTTCTCTTCTCAAAAGTCTAAAGACGACTAGGTGCTTGATCTAGCTACCGTATGACGTTCTCGATCGACTTTATTTTCTTCAATCTAATTACAACAACAATCCAGTAGAATTACACTAGTGTAATTTGGGGAGGATAAAATATACACAGACCTTATCCCTTCAGGGATAGAGAGGCTGTTTCCGGGAATTCTTCGATCTAATTGAAGTCCAAAAATTTAACTGAAAATGGGTTCACAAATAAATACTTGTAATATTTTTAACAAAGTTTTTAATACAAAAACAGGATCTAAGTAGTGATTGTTTCCATACTTATATTATAGCTCTCCCTCCGTTTGCTAGGTTGACGTGGATGAGCTAGGAGTAGACTTTCTGTAATTTCAACCTCTTACAACACACGATTAACCATAAATTCAAATTGGCATATGTCAAGAGATGATTTTATATCCTAACTTACCGGACCAAATAGAAGATTATCGGTGGATTTTGAATCTGTGGATTGTAAGAACTTGAGGGAGAATTAACAAAATAAAAAAGTAAAAGGAAAATTTGCAAAGGACGACAAAGCAGAGTTGATATAGAAAAACAGGGGAGTGGGAGCCGCAGCTAACCTTCAGGAGGATTAGTGGTGGCAACATTGGTTGTGTTTCTTTGAGCTACAGCTATCTCCACGAGTAGACTAAACATGACGATGACGGCGGAGGAGTAGAAGCTTAAACCAAATCCTCTTCCGTTTATTGTCCATGGCACCGCCGTCTTCATCTCTGCCTTATCTCAGCTTGTTGAGTTGTTTCTTCTCCCACAGATTATTAAAGAAGGATTTAGTAGGAATATGAAAGAGGGAAAGACAGAGACCAGTCCACCACTGCTAAAATGAATTAACAAACAATATAATCCGTTATATATATTAAACTAATACAACTGTTGCTAAAATGTTTGAATAAGGGTTTAGTTGCATCTTAGAAATGCTTAATTATTTGGCAATGCGTATGTTATGTTGTCGTCATATTACATGCAACTGTGCCACGCGCCTTTGAAATGTTGCCTTTTGTTAGGGTCAATACTAGCGAGGTGATGACCGTGCTATGCACAGGCCCAATATTTGAGCTCATGCAAAAGATATTTGTATCAAATAAATTTCATAATTCTGAAAATATTAATGGTTAGTGTAACCAGAGGGAAAAAAACTTAACGTTTTACGGTATTATATCTCAGAATGTGAATGTAATGAGATATAATGTAGACTCTCTTCTTATAATAGGAAGTTCAAACAATTTATAAACAAAATTTCACCTGTATAAAATTATTCTAGTTTATATTGAATTTAAAGTTCTCACTTTTATATGTAATTTTGCTTTGGAGTTGTTTCTTGAAGGTTTATCACTCATATTAAATATTGTTTGTAACTTATTTATCCTAATCGTTTGAAAGTTTAAATTGTTGACTTGACAAGTTTATTCATGTCAAACAAAATATTTTAAATTTTATTCTACCTAAAATTGGTTAAATGATTTTTATATTTTTAGGTGAAGATATTGGGTATTTTTACATACTTTTCTCCTTTTATTAGGAGTATTTTTTTGTTGTTTACAATTAAACTTTTTCCACCTATAGAATTACTCTACGGATCCTCCTTTTTTATAAGTAAAATAGGTATATATTATATCTCTGACTATCTTACTATCTGTTAATGTAACGACGCGACTGGTCGTTTTGAGCAATTGCGCCCGATTTGATAGTTTGAGGTCTCGAGCAGCTTCACATTATGTATATCGACTTGTGTGCATGGTTGGATTCAGTTTTCCGAATGAATCGGAGTTGAATTCGAAGAAGGAAACTAGTTTTGGAAGTTTAAATGGTAAGAATTTGACTGGAATTGGACTTTTGGGTAAACGGCTCCGGAATGGGTTGTGGATTATCTCAACAACTTCGTATGGTAATTTTGGACTTAGGCACGTATCCGGATTCAGATTTGAATGTCTGTAGGGTAAATTGAGGCATTTCGGCGAAAGTTGGAAAAGTTGAAGTTTGGGAAACAGAGAAGTTTGACCCATAGTTGACTTTTGTGATATCAGGGTTGGAATGTGATTCCGAGAGTAGGAGCAGCTCCGTTATGTCATTTTGGACTTGTCTGCAAAATTTGGCGTTATTTCGAGTTGAATTGATATGTTTTGGCATGAGATTTGATATTTGAAGATTTGAAAATTCGTAAGTTTGATTTTTTGTTTGATTCATTGTTTTGGTGTTGTTTTATGTGATTTGAAACCTCGAGCGAGTCCGTGTTAGGTTATATGACTTGTTTGTGTGATTAGACGGGGTCCCGGGAGCCTCGGGTGTGTTTCGGATGGGCTACGAGTCATTTTTTCCTATGTTTGAACTGATGTTCTGTTATCTGGTATTTCCTTCCATGCGATCGCATAGGCGTAGCCGCGATTACGTAGTACAATGTTAATCTGCCATATTTTCCTTCTATACGATTGCATTTATTTGTCCGCGATAGCATAGCACAAATTTGGACAGCAACATTTTCCTTTTATTCGATTGCATTGATTTGTTCGCGATAGCATAACACAAATTTGGACAACATCATTTTCCTTCTATGCGATTGCATTGATTTGTTCGCGATAGCATAGTGTCCATCAATTTTACTCTTCGCGATCGCATCCTTCCTTACGCAATCGCATAGAACATTTTTTGGTCAGTGAATATTTTCCTTCTATGCGATCGCATTAGTCCTTACGCTATCGCATAGAACATTTTGGGCCAGTAGCTATTTTTCTTCTACGCGATCGCATCACTTCTCCCGCGATCGCGATGAACAAATACCTGGGCAGACAGAATATATTCCAAAATCGAGGGTTACACCATTTTCATCATATTTTGACTTCTAGAGCTCGGTTCTTGGCGAATTTTGGTAGGTTTTTCACGAAATTCGATTGGGTAAGTGTTCTTCAACTAGAATTAAATATATTCCATGAATTTGTCTTTATTTTTATCATTTAAATTATGTTTTGGGTTGGGAAAAAAGTTGGTTTTTGAAGAAAAATTTTAAAATGAAAAATCATGATTTGAGGGACCAAATGGTATCGGAATTGGATAAATTTTGTATGGTTGAACTCATTTTGGAATGGGTGATCGGATTTTGTAAAATTTGACGGGTTTCGAGGTGCGAGCCCGGGGGTCGACTTTTGGGTCGATTTTTATATTTTTGTAAAGATTGAAACTTTATTATTCGAAATAGTTCCTTATTCGATTTATGTGTGTTTTGGAGTTGTTATAGTTGGATTTGAACTGTCCGAAGGTCTTTTCGCCTGAGAAGTCCATTTAAGAGTACCGAGTTGCCGTCTTTGAGGTAAGTATCTTGCCTAACCTTGTGTTGGGGACTTCCCCTTAGGAATTGAGTCTTCTATGTTAATTGTAGTCCAGACATGCGAGGTGACGAGTGTGTGCTCGGACTTATTTATGGAAAATTTGACTCTAGGGTTCTTAGGTCCTTATGTGGAAAGTATCCTGTTATGATTGGGTTTCCTAGTTGCTTAAATTGCCTCTATATGCTCCATATGATGTTGTTAGCATTTCTCTAATTCGTACGCGTTACATTGACCCTTAATTGAAGTGATTTCCTTCCTTATTGTTTTGATACTTCTTGATTGTGAGTTCCTCTATGACTTCGTGCAAATAGATTACATGTCCACTTGTTGTGGTTGCCGGTGTAGTTATCACGTGCTTATTATGTCTTGTTGTGTAGTTGAGGTTTCATTGTGAAATTAATTGTTGGTACAAGTTTGGTTATAGTTGATTCCCTTACCGGAACATATTTAATTCTTACTGTTGGTTCCCTTATCGGGACGTATTTATTTTTGTTGTTGACTCCCTTACCGGGATATTGTTATTTCCTTATTATTCCCTTGCCGGGATTCTTTCGTGATTGGCGTTGATTTATATATATGGATCGGGTTGCACGCCGCAACAATAATATATGGATCGGGTTGCACGCCGCAACAATATTATATGGATCGGGTTGCACGCCGTAACAATATTATATGATTTGGATCGGGTTGCACGCCGCAACATCACTATATGATTTGGATCGGGTTGCACGCCACAATAGTACTATATGATTGGGATCGAATTGCACACCACAACAAGAAAGAATAAAAGTGAATGTTGATTCTTAATAACACTCCTATACTCATGTCTAAGATCCGAAAATTATTTAATGAAAAATCTTATATCTCTCATAAAATTTGAAAAACTTTATTCTCTTTGATACTCAATATCATTAGTGGAGACCATTCTCGCTTCTCGTGTGCACTCTATCATTATAACATCTCAATAGAAAATATATTTTACATGAAAATAGTTCATACCATGTTAACAAACATTTTGTTTAATGAATATTTATGTACATTCGTTACTGAAGTATTGTAATACAGTCAGACCTTTCTATAACAATAATTTACTATAATGGTTAAGTTTTATTGGGATTCAATTTTTCATATTATGTTATAACATATATTTTATATAACAACACTTAACTATAGCCGTCAAAATATATAGGATCAACCGAAGTTGCTATAAATAAGTTTTACTGTAGTATAACATAGTTTTTTGCTCAAATAAAAATGAAAATAGAAGTTTGTGTAAAATCTCGAACTACATGCTAAGCGAATTGTGCATTTAGATTTTGATTCAGTTTAAATAATCTATTAGATATTAGTAACATAAACTGTTTTATTTTGTTTTACTTAAATAAAAATTATAACAAAAATAACAATAACTAATGAAATATGAAATTTATATAATTTTAAAAGTTAAATATAGGGGCATTTGCATTTATACCCGCTTTTTGTGTGACGTTTTAACTTGTGCCCGCTTTGCAAAAAAAATTGCAAGCGTACCTGCTTTTTCGCATAACTTCATCATACGGGCTGAAGTAGCAAAGACGATCACGCAAAACTTCAGTATTCCAGTAGCCGGGCCTGAAGTTCAACTCTAGAGCTGAAGTTTTTATTTTATAACTAGCGAACTTCAGCTGAAGTTTTTAAAACCCTTAAGTATGTACCGGTGAAGTTTCTATTTTTGGGGAAAGGGGAAGTGGAACTACCTGATGCCACAGGAAAAGAAGCTGAAGCTTTACTGTTTGAAAGTTCAAAAGACACTTACTTCAGGATTCAGGAGCATCTTCTCAAATTTCACGTCTTATTTGTTTGCTCAAGTTTGTTAACAAGGCAACACCTTCGATCAATGTGCTTTTGTACGTGTACATCTCCTCGTAAGCTCGTCAACACCATACTTTATGGACTTAAAATTGCTACATACGCACACAAAAGAAGGAAAAAACCCAGATTTATCATTTTATCTTCATAAATGTTAGTATCTACTAAGCACACCTCAAGAAAATCCAACTTGGTATTCAGAAAACAACCAAACTTCTACTCAACGTAAAGTTTTCATATTTCAGTGATCAGTATGGGAAATCAAGAAAACAAATGTCAATCATTGTGGGGCAAGTCATTTATTGCAAAGGTACGACGTTTGTTTCACTCCATTTCTTATACATAATGTCACATATATAGCTCAGATCAGTTTGATAAACGGTCTATGTATTGTTACATCAGTGTTATGTTCCGAAGAGATATGGAGATCACTGGGAGAAAGAGAAGGAGAAAGGGGACTGAAGTTGTTTAAAAAATGGGTACAAGTTAAAAGTTTTTTAAAAAATAGGTATAGATTAAATGGAGGCGACCAAATAGGGCGCCACATGCAATTTTTACATTATTCTCCGTGAAAAAAATATATAAGAGTACTTTAAGAGTCCCATACATGATACATTAAACCTGTCAAATTAACCACGGGGCCACAAGCTCCAACA